CTCTTTCTTGTTTGTGTTTCATGCGCTCGCAGAGCCCAGTCCAGAGCCCGCTCCAGTCCGGGAGCTCACAGAGCACAGTCCAGAGCCCACTCCAGTCCCGGAGCTCACAGAGCCCACTCCAGTCCCGGAGCTCACAGAGCCCGCTCCAGTCCCGGAGCTCACAGAGCCCGCTCCAGTCCCGGAGCTCACAGAGCCCACTCCAGAGCCCGCTCCAGTCGGGGAGCTCACAGAGTTTACCACCTCTGTCCTTCAGACTCCCACTAAGCGGCGGAGGGTGTGAAGGAGGACAGGAAGACTCACTCCAGAGCCCGCTCCAGTCCCGGATTTCACAGAGCCCGTTCCAGTCCAGGAGCTTGCAGAACCCGGTCCTGAGCCCGCTCCAGTCCGGGAGCTCGCAGAGCCCAGTCCAGAGCCCGCTCCAGTCCGGGAGCTCGCAGAGCCCACACCAGAGCCCCCTCCGGTCCGCCGGTGCGAAGTAGGACAGGAAGCCTCACTTCAGAGCCCGCTCCAGTCCTGGAGCTCAGAGAGTCCAGTCCAGAGCCCGCTCCAGTCAGGGAGCTCACAGAGCCCAGTCCAGAGCCCGCTCCAGTCGGGGAGCTCACAGAGCCCAGTCCAGAGCCCGCTTCAGTCGGGGAGCTCACAGAACCCAGTCCAGAGCCCGCTCCAATCCGGGAGCTCATAGAGCCCACTCCAGAGCCCGTTCCAGTCCAGGAGCTCGCAGAACCCGGTCCTGAGCCCGCTCCAGTCGGGGAGCTCACAGAGCCCAGTCCAGAGCCCGCTCCACTCCCTGAGCTCACAGAGCCCAGTCCAGAGTCCGTTCTAGTCCCGGAGTTCACAGAGCCCAATCCAGAGCCCACTCCAGTCCGGGAGCCCACTCCAGAGCCCGCTCCGTTCCGGGAGCTCACAGAGCCCACTCCAGAGCCCGCTCCAGTCGGGGAGCTCACAGAGCCCAGTCCAGAGCCCGCTCCAGTCCGGGAGCTCATAGAGCCCACTCCAGAGCCGGCTCCAGTCCCGGAGCTCACAGAGTCCGCTCCAGTCCCAGAGCTCACAGAGCCCAGTCCAGCGTCCGCTCCAGTCCCGGATTTCACAGAGCCCAGTCCAGAGCCCGCTCCAGTCGGGGAGCTCACAGAGCTTACCACCTCTGTCCTTCAGACTCCCACTAAGCGGTGGCGGGTGAGAAGGAGGACAGGAAGACTCACTTCAGAGCCTGCTCCAGTCCTGGAGATCAGAGAGTCCAGTCCAGAGCCCGCTCCAGTCAGGGAGCTCACAGAGCCCAGTCCAGAGCCCGCTCCAGTCGGGGAGCTCACAGAGCCCAGTCCAGAGCCCGCTCCAGTCGGGGAGCTCACAGAGCCCAGTCCAGAGCCCGCTCCAGTCGGGGAGCTCACAGAGCCCAGTCCAGAGCCCGCTCCAGTCGGGGAGCTCACAGAGCCCAGTCCAGAGCCCGCTCCAGTCGGGGAGCTCACAGAGCCCAGTCCAGAGCCCGCTCCAGTCGGGGAGCTCACAGAGCCCAGTCCAGAGCCCGCTCCAGTCCCGGAGTTCACAGAGCCCAATCCAGAGCCCCCTCCAGTCCGGGAGCTCGCAGAGCCCAGTCCAGAGCCCGCTCTAGTCCGGGAGCTCGCAGACCCCAGTCCAGAGCCCACTCCAATCCGGGAGCTCACAGAGCCCAGTCCAGAGCCCGCTCCAGTCCCGGAGCTCACAGAGCCCAGTCCAGTCCCAGAGCTCACAGAGCCCAGTCCAGAGCCCGCTCCAGTCCCGGAGCCCACAGAGCCCACTCCAGAGCTTGCTCTGTTCCGGGAGCCCACAGAGCCCACTCCAGAGCCCGCTCC